GAGGTAGCAGCATCCAAAAGACCGATTCCGTTGGGGCAGATGTCGCCAGGCAGCATAATGTGCGCACCAGAGGCAGGGGCGACGATGGGCTTGCGGTCCGGGTTGTCCATGCACTCGATTGCGTCGGCAAAAGGGCCGGTAGCGTTGATGACGCCCTTTGCGCGGACGGTGAAGGGGGCGCTGCCGGGGTTCTTGACGTCGCGGACTTGGGCGCCCGTGATCTTGCCGGTGGAGGAGTTCTTTTCCAGAGAGGTGACTTCGACATGGTTGAGGACGGTGGCGCCGTAGAAGGCGGCGGTGAGGGCGAGAGAGACGTTCATGCGGGAGTCGTTGTGCTGGCCGTCATAGTAGACGAGGGCACCGACCATGTTATCCTTTCTGAGCTTGGGGAAGGCCTCCATGGCCTTCTTGGTGGAGACGTAGTAGGAGCTCTCGAGACCCTGGGAACCGGCGAGGAGATCGTAGGCCTTTGTGCCGGCCCAGAAGTAAGGAGTCTGCCACCACTTCTGGATGGGCAGGAGAATAGGCAGGGAAGAGGACAGGTGCGGGGCGACGTTGAGGAAGGTCTTGCGCTCGTGAAGGGCCTCCATGACGAGCTCGAGCTGGGAGTAGTCGAGGTTCCAGACGGCCTTTTCGAGGTAGCGGACACCGCCGTGAACGAGCTTGGTGCTCTTGGACGAGGTTCCAGCAGAGAAGTCGTCGCGCTCGACGAGGGCGACCTTGAGGCCGCGGGTGACGGCGTCGAGAGCGATGCCGGTTCCCGTGGCGCCGCCGCCGATGACAAGGAGGTCGTATTCTTGGGCATCGGAGTTGTGAGCGCGCAGGTCGGCCAGCTGTGAGGCGCGGTCCTTTGCCGCGGGGAATGAAGGCGGGACGATCTTGCCCTGGTCATCGCGCTTGAGCTCGACGAGGGCCTTGTCGAAGTTGTGAGCGCCGCGGCCACTGAGGAAGGTTGAGTAGGCGACGACACCACCAGTTGCCGCGGCGGCAGCGATGGCGACGGGCCTTCTCAGGCTTGAGAAACGAGACGCCATGCTGGCGGGTGTTTCTTGTGTGTGTGTGTGTTTTCTTGTGATCTCTTCACTCGGTGAGGTTTAGACCGAGTCCGAGAAGGACGGGACGATGACGGTGGAAGGCGCGTCTGGTATAGGTGACCAGTCCGGGCGTGTAGGGTGTGGGATGCCCTTTTGGTGAATGCTTTCCCTCAATGGTGATGTGTTAGGAGGGGGAGGGGTTCACAGGTTGATGATCCTGGGAAGAATCAGGAAGGTGAAGGTAGGGGAAAAGAAGTAAGAATAAGAGAGGTAGGAAGAGGAAGAAAAGGCTCAAGGGCTTAAGAGGGACCGAAGGGGTTGAGGATTGTCGATCGGTAGATGACCCAAGTGAGTGGGTAGATTCCGGGTGGCAGAAAAGCAGGAAGCTGTGCTTGTCCGGGCTGGGCCGCCTCACCCGCGAAGTATGGACTGTTATTCGTGGAATGACACCCCGAGCTCGAGAAGGAATGGTCCCGTTTGGCGCGAGCAAAAATCTTCCGTTGGACTGACTGGGCAGGGCGGAAGGGCAGGGGATGTGGGTATCAGAGATGGGAGAGAGGGCGACCTGATGTGAGGAAAATAAAAAAACAATAACGAAACTTGAGCCCGGCAGAAAGAGGCTAAAAGTAGATCGGGGGTGGAGGGGGGTACGAAGATACCTTGTGATGACGGAGATCGGGGGATGGATGGACGGACGGGGGGTCAGACGGAGAGAGACATGCAGCTTTGGCCGGTAGCGATGGATGGAACACACGGACAAAGCGATGAGGATGCCAGCTCAGACACAGCTCTTGCTTGGTGTTCGCAAGGTATCGCTCGCCATTGCCAATTGGACCTTGACCCCCACGTGGTCGCAGGCGCGTCTGCGGTATGGCAGCATGGCTCATCTTGAGACTTTTTTTGCTGATACCTTGTCTGTCCTGACCACCATGCCTGCGTTTGCTACCTTGTGCTACCTTACCTTAGCTATCCCACATCACTGCATGCTATCATCTATCGCAGCTTCATCAGCCATGTAGCTACACAGTAGGTACGTTGTGGTGAATGGTGGCAATGGCAGTGGTGAAGGGCAAACGGTCTCCGGAAGCAGCAGTAGCAATGCACTCGAGTCGGGGTCTGACATCATGGGTACCGAGCTCACTCCGAGCTAGCAATTAGCAAGCAGAAACAGCATCCCAACACTGGCTGAGTGACTGAGCAGAGTCAGGACATGCAGCGAACCGGAGTGAGTGAGAGACGGGAAAAGACCCGCTTCTCGTTCGTCATGTCGGTAACGGCCCAGGTTCCAGTATGGAGAAATGAATGGGGAAAAGGCACGCAAATCTGGAGGTGGGAAAGAGACGTCGGTGCCATCCCATCCGTATGCGTAGATGGATCCGTAATTGTATGGTGTTTCCAGTCAGAGCCTCAAATATGCCATCAGGGGTCTGTCTGCACCTCGGTGTTGACTGGCCGAGACGGTGACATGTTTTCGGCATTCTCTCGGTGCTGATGATACATGGAGCATTGTACCCCTGTCTCGGTGGTCTCGGTTGACATCGCCGACCACTGAAGAAGAATTGGAGAAGGTGCGGCCCAGGTTCCCAGAGAAAGGAAGGAAGTGTCCCGCTAAGAACTGGAAAGTGCAGGTGGGGTCACAGATTTGGAGACCTTCCGTCAGCTGGAGGGAAGGCTCCACTGGACCTTGAGGTTCGCCATGATCGGCGGAATCCTCCGGCCGAAAAGTACGTCCTCTTCCACTTTAGCCCCTGCTTCCAGCCCTGACCCTCTTTTCCCGTGCCACACGTGCCTTCTCCTCTTTTCGGTTTACCACCAACACCACCACCACCACCACCAGTCTCCACTTTAGCAGTGCCAGACGGCGACACTGCGGCCTCGACTCTCGCTCGTCCTCGGTGTTGCATTCCCGTCACTCACCACATCCACATCGCAGACCTGGACCACCACCACCGTCCAATACTACTGGGCAAGGACTCCATAGTCCAATCCAATCACGCTCACTGCAGAATCAGCAGCAAGGCACAGTCACTCGCCTGCTGGATCTCGAGACACGCATTGCAGATGCCCTGCGGATGCCTCACCCAGTCACCCAGTCACCCAGTAGTAACAATCACCACTGCCAAACGGCGACTACACGGCGACCACCAATCGGCCCGGCGAATGGCCCGCGACTGATGTCTCCTCGTCGACCCTCCCCAACGTCTCCATCAGTGTCCATCGTGGGATGTTTGCCCACACAGCGCCACGCCATACTGCCGCTAACTACCCTTATCCTTTGCAATCCTCACATGTCGGCCCTTATACAGGGGCCTGATTACTATGGATCTCGCCTCACTTCTCAACTTGAGGCCCGATTGTGAGGCTTGCCCAACAGCCCAAGGGCTCAAGGGGCATCAACCAGCCAAACAATTTCTTCCAGGGCGGATTTCTGCTTCATCTTAAGAACCAGATGCCGTCCTCTTCTGTCCATCCATAGTACTGCGGACCGTTTTTGGTTCCCGGCCACGACGGGCACGGGACGCTGCATCACACAGACGCCGTGCCATTTTGGTGACCGAATTATCGGGATTCACAGCCAACAAACGCCGTACAGTCGAACCTGTCTTCGTTCCCCCTTTTTTTTTAACCTACATATCATCGACTAGCCCACCCACCATGGCATCGCCTACACCCGACACGATATACTGCCACCACTCGCCAAGCTATCCAAGTCAGCAAAACCTGCCTCCAGTCTGCCGACTCTTCCCTCCAGACCCAGCAATTTCCGCAACTCTTTACCATCATCGATCACGCGCAAAACCCCTACGCAGTGCAGCGGCCGACGTCCGAGCTTGACTGACAAGTCACTCTACCTCTGCCATGTACCTCGACCTACTCTTGTATGGGTACTTGGGGAGTGTCCGGACACGAACCCCTCCTGGGATACGACTGCGGTAGGGACACCGTTGTCGCACCCGCACCGCACCCGCACGCCGCAGGGCACACGCCCGCCGTCCACTCCTCCGTGGCCGCTACCAAGTTTCTTCGCTGCACATCCCTCGGCCGTCACGGCCACGCCGCAGTGCCACGCCGAACATTCCGCGCCGCCCCCTGCAACTCGCGTGCGAAAAAGTGGGAGGAAGCAAGTTGAGGTGGCACACGGGTTGAATTGCTGCCAATCCACAACCACTTCGCAACTCGGCTCCCCTACCCACGCAAACGGTCACGATACAGTCAGTTTTCTTGCTGCGCTGCCAGATGATGCGATGGGCCAGCTTTGGTCCGCCAACCTGTCCAAGTGCTGCGTGTCAGGTCCCTGTCTACGACAGCCACACAACCCAGCTCGAAATAGTCCTTCGACCCCCGTTGACTTACACCCAAACGCAGGTCAACCCATCACCATGTCCTCGTTTGATGACCTTGATTTGCGCCTACATTTTGAAACTCGCAGGTTGCAGCTGCGCCCCACGGCACGTTCGCAGCCAGAGTACCGATCTTAGCACTACGACAAGTATCGCACCCAGAGTTCGTCGTCTCGCGCTACCGAACCCTCTAGCCAATCTGAGTAAGATGGACCAGGTCCCAGGGTGCAACTCGACAGCGACGTTTCCTGCACGTCCACTAGCTCTTGGCTGTTTCTACCCCGCGCTTCCAGACGAAGCACCAGCCAGACACAACCTTATCTCACGACGGGCAACGTTCGCCGGGCCACTGAAAAAGGGCCATCGATCGGAGACAGCTGTATTACGAGTCAGCTTCGCTCAGAGTTTGAAGCCATCGGCCTCTCATCGATGAAAGCACGATCTCCAAGTTACTATACGCAACGGGAACAATACGGGCCATCGTCAGACACACTTACACGCAACGTCCGTTGCGCACTGCTCCGCCTCGCATCGCAACCTTGCTACAGCTCTGCAAACGGGAAACTCATGCCGGCGATTGGACATTCGAGCCATCCAGACAAGACAGTCATCCGAGTTCCTCGCCATGCGGCCAATGCTTGACATCACTTCCCGTCGCCACCCCATCCAATCCGCGCCCTCTCCCGCCTTGACGTCGATGGTAGTTCAGGCGACAACAGACCACTCTCCTCAACTTTGCCCATCTTCAACTTAAGCTAAGCGCACAGTTCTTGCGAATCGCTAGTTGCCACAAGAAACTTGAACAACACACAATGGGCCATCCGAAGTCCTCATAATGCACCCTCTTGGTGGCTGAAAGAGGATTCCATGGCATTGGCGAGCTGGAAGCATGGGCAACGTGATACCTAAGCTTGCACAGTAGGTTGCTGACTACCATCCCTCTGCTGGTCTCCCGTCTCTTGGCCAGGAAGGTGAGCAACAGAGGTCAAGAGTCGGCTACAGACGGAGCGGGTGCAAGATGCCCATGGGGACCACCCATTTCCCCAAGCTGGGGTCGAGACGGAGCATGACCGGGGCTCCAGTCGGTCTTGATACTGCAATTGCTACCCGAGTCTACGAACTATTGGATTCCAGACATTCCAAAAGAGAATGTGCAACCGCGGACCCGGACTTTCGGGGTCGCTGTCAGGGTCAATCTCAACCTTTGAGGCCTCTGAGAGGTCAGAGGCGGGGCTACATTCACGATTCACCACACCAAAACCCCAGTCTCCCCAACAAGATGCAAGCCCACGCCATCATGGATTACATGCAAAGTGCGAGCATTTTGTTGGTCTGGATTCCTTTGGACTGGTGGTGGTTCAGCTTTGCTGCACTGGAGATTCGGAAGCGATTCCAGTTCCCAGCGGCGTGGGCAGGTCCCTTCCCGCTAGCCAAGTTGGCGGCGTTAGGCCCCCGTAATTTGGGCCCATGTCTCTGAGCAAAAACCCCCGACTTGACGGAAGAATTGTTCACCTGGCCCGCCCTCGGGGCAATCGTGCCAATCTTCCAGCGAAGGTGGCTTTTTTCTCGTTTCCAAGGGTCTCCTTCACGAACATACTAATTGCTGGCCATGGGCGCACATCGTAGTTGAGAAAGAGGATTGTCTTTGCCTCTTGATGGCACTCTTTTCTCTCGTGTATTGCGTAGTCACCAAGGGGAAACATTCTTTGAACTCTGAAAATGACTTTGTGATTTGAAGACAAGACACCGCTAATCCGACCCACCACGCCAATAACCAAGCAACATCACCAGCACCTCAGCACCCAACAGGACAACAGGCAAGGCAAAAAAACAAGAAACAGGAACGACGGAATACAGCTGCAAACAAGCTCATGATAAACGATTTTTTTCGCCCGTGTTCGCTTTTTTGGGGTGTTTGGACCGTAAGACAGACCCATCCTTTTTGTGTTTCTTTTTGTTTTTCCCCTTCTGTTTCCCCTCAACTTGAGAAACGCATACATGCGTTGGATCAAGTCGAGAGGTTGTCTCGTTGAAGGCAGGAGGGGACCTTCGAGTCGATCGCTCGCCCGTCTCAGTCTCTCCATCTCTCTCTCTTCTCTCGTTATCCGAAACCCGTGGTATCATTGTCTGCCAGTTTCTTTGCCTTTCTCACTCTCGCACACTCATAAGAGATCGTCGTGGAGGTCGTCGTCGTTCTCATGAAGATGGACCGAGCCCTCACGATAAGATCCCGGTGTCAATCTCATCATCACTCATCAAGATGAAAACAACATCTCTCTCTCACTTTCTCATCATCAAAAACGCACAAATCGGACACTACGTGAAGCGAGGACACTGTCTACACCTTCTCCAAGCGGTTCTTGTAGGTGTTGGACCAGACGTCCCTGCGCGGGCGGAAGAGTCGGGTGAGGCCAAAGTAGGGCGTGTTGATGGGGCTCTCGCCGGTGAAGATGAAGACGTCGTACAGAAAGCCGCCAAAGAGGGTGCCGAAGAAGGGGGCGACCATGGGGATCTATGGAGATGAAATGTTAGTCACGAGACTTCGGGTTAGGATGTGAGGTGAAGGATTCGCCACTCGGAAGGACGACGTCGAGGGCCACAAGACTAGCGCATACAGCGACGACGACGACGAAAAACCCCGAGCCCCATCAGAAGATAGGGGGGAGACCGAGGCAGGCAGGAAAGGAATTTTCTTGCTGCTTACCCAGAAATAGTATCCACCGGCGGACCACACTTCAGACCCGTATCCGAGAATGTACGAAACCAGGCGGGGACCAAAGTCACGAGCCAGGTTGATGGCGTAGCCAGTCTCCCAACCGAAGCAAGCACCGATGCCGAAAATGAGGAAGAAGAGGGCCAAGGGCATAAAGGGGCCCGCAGCTCCGTTGGTGGGATCGGCGAGGGCGAAAATGGAGAACATGAGAATGGTGGAGGCGACGATTTCCGAAAAGAACATGCCCGTCCGCGTCATGAAGGCGGCCGGGTACGTGCAAAAGATGCCGGCGGTCGAGTTGGCGCCGCCGACGGTGCGGATGCCCGGGCCGCCCTCAAAGGCGTCGATGGCACTGATGTAGTTTCCGTACACGATGAAGGCGCCGGCCATGGCGCCCAGGAGCTGGCCCATGAAGTAGACGGGGAACTTGCGCCACGGGTGGCCGCGGTACACGCAGTTGGCGAGTGTCACTGCCGGGTTGAGATGACCACCGGATTTCTTGCCCACGTAGACACCGAGCATGACTGCCAATCTATGAAGCAATGAGTTAGTTGATTCATTCTCTTCTCTTCTCTCGTTGCTGTGTTCGACTTCCGCCGAGACTCTCGTTTTATTCAAGATTGCGCAAGCCGAAAAAGCCACGCACTCGTGAAGTGAAGTCGGAACACTGGGGAGGATCGAAACTTACCCCCAACCCCAAGAGATACTCTGGTAATCACCCTTGGTGCTGTTGCTGAGAACGACCTGGGCAACGACACCGTCGCCAAAGAGGATCATAATCATGGTTCCAAAGAACTCGGAGAAACCCTCCTGGCAGTTCTCACGGATACGCGACCACCACAGCTGCTCCTCCTCATGGTGAGGAGGGAGCATGCTGCCAACGGCGTGCTCCTCGTGGGTCTCTTCGCCTCCCATGTCGTGTTTATAAGTTGGAATATGCTGCTTGCCGACGGACGACGACTCTGACACCGATTCCGCTGTATGGACAGTGATGACCATTAGAACCTCGATACGATAACGTTTACGATTTCTCTCGAAGGGACGAAGGGGCTCGAGGGTGGTGAAATGGATGGATGGATGAGGAGTGAGAAGGACTTTGAGAAGGAGAGGAGATGGAGAAGGAGAGAAGATAAGAAACGCGGGGACGGTGAGATGAAGATGAGATGAAGAGATGGACGAAGGTCTGGCCAAGGTATCATCCCACGTCCATCCCATGGGGAAGCAGCATCTTCTTATGGTCCCCACGGGCTCGTGGTGTTCCCACGGGGCTGGACACCGTTGCAACCAATCCACCGGGTTTGGCAATCATCCTTTGGGGAAAAGAGGAGAGAGGGATGGTTGGATGGACACATTGAGATGGGGCGGGGTGTTGATACTGGGGGAGTGAGGAGTGGGCAGTGGAAGTGGGAGGGGGTTTAGGTCTGGGGGGGCGTATACGGTATCGCCAAACGGAAATCATGGACGCTTACCCATCTTTGGTCACTTTGCAGATAAGTTGTATGCTTGATTTGACTCTTCTTCTTCTTTTTTTTCCTTCGGGCTCCCTTCAGCGGGTTAGGGGTGTTGCGAATGTGGATCTGTTGTACCGAGATCACTGATCAAGTAGACTGATTTTCTTCCGGGATCCCACGACGCTTAGGATCACCACGACCTGCGCGCGGCGGTGACTGATACGAGATTGGTTCGAAATCCTTGAAATGGCTTCCACAATTCCGGATATCTGGGATCACCGACAGTTCGGGTCCTTGGATGAACAGCCTCGGTGATACGAAAAGGAAATAAACGAAGAGCAAAAGTTCGACAACTGTTCCTAAACGGGATTCGTGCGTTACGGGTCTCGCGGAGAGATGGAGATTGACACGCGGGATGAGGATACCGAGGGGACTTGACGATGGACGACGCTATGGGATGGGTTGGTCAAGCGGAGGAGTGAGAAAAAATCGAACGATGTGGGCGGGTGAGATGAAAGTCGCTCAGTTTGTGCGTGTGTCCAGGTCGGTCAAGTGTGTGTATGTGAGAGGGAGAAAAAAAAGAGAGAGAGAAGGAAGATGGCACGAAGGTGGGACAAGGGGATATGATGCAGTTCGGTGGCTCACACCGAAGTTGAAGCGATTTGGCGGCCGAGATGGACGAGACGTTGTCGCCGGACGGCGGCCGAGGCTTTGATGAAGAGGAATTCTGGACCTATGCTGGCTTTGGTGTACTTGGGTGGTGCTTCTCACTCCCGTCTTTCGTCTTGGCCTTGTCCACCCCGCTCATTAAGGAGGGACCCCCTTCTCCGGGTTTGCGCCAAGGCAGATGTGGTGTGCGCGCCGAACGGATCAGGAAGAGGATGTACGGATACTATCTGCGGCTTCGTGGGTAAGGAGACAGGACGCACAAGGTTGCGCAATGTAGAGGTACGGAAACGACGAATCTACTCCACTCGCGCCACTAATAGGCTTCACTTCCCGGCAAGGAGAATGTGTGTGTGAGAGAAATGCGCGCCAGGGCCCAGGAGAAGGACTAATGCCCTTTGCAACCTCGCATGGGATGAAATATGTGGTTCCTCAGAGGTAAGCTTCTGGGGCAGGTTCCCACGTGTGGAGAGGGGCGACGGATGCCAATGGTGACTGTACGGAGTACAGATACTCTGTGAGAGAGGGCGGAGTTGTTGTACAAGTTGCTGTACGAGTGAAGAGGCGCGCGTGAGGTTGAAGGATGTGGGATTCAGTACGTAGCAAGAGGCACGAGGGTAAAAAAGAAGAGGGGACTTCTTTCTTTGGCCTGTTGCAAGGAGGCTGGAGTGATCGCGTGGTGGACTGGACGGGTGGACTTGAGGTAAGTTTTCGGTGCGTCTTCCGAACCAAGGACCCAGTTTGAATGAATCCTTCCTAATCGTCGTCAAAAGTATAGAGACGGGTGTGACGGGGAAAGCGAATAGAAAAAGTTGATTACGCGGGGCCAAGTCGTCGTATGCAGCAACTCAATTCTCTTGCTTGTTTCCAGTCAGTCAGCTTTTCCCCAAACTTTGTCCAGTTACAAACCAGAATCTGGGGGAGATCGGGGGTGAGACCTACGCTTGCTACAGTACGACTGACTACCTTGCAAAGGAAGAATGTACTGAAAGTCTCATGACCTGCCAGTGCCACAGCTTGTCGTCCTTGCTCCCTGGTTTGCCGATTGATTAAAGCCGAGTTTGAACTCTGACTGATCAGATCGGAAGATTGCCTCTTCCATGATGCATCCCTGAAGCCATCTGGGGCTCGGGCGATGGACGCCAAGGGTCCATTGAGAGGTGGTGGAGCCGCTCCATCGTCCACGGACCAAATCTGACAGTGACGAGCGCGGGCGAGCCACACCACACCAAAACTATGTAACCAGCCGCGGCAAAAACGTCATACACGAAGGGTACGCCTATCATCATTGGCGTGTGATGGTGCGCGCGGCGTTCCGTGGTGTCGACCGAAGGCAGAGAAGAGACGGACTACTTCCCGTTGAAACCCATTTGCGGCTCATTTTTTTTTCTCCCCTGTCTCTCATTATCTCTCGTTCATCGCCGGCCAAGGTTCAAGCGTTTCTTCCAATGACGTTAGCCGTCCACAACCAAATGTGGAAAAAGGCGACAAGCAAGAGAGAAAAAACTCTACACGGCGAGCCGGCGAGCCGAGGCCACCATGAGCCCTCTTCTCTCCTCGGTAGCACTGACAGACCGCAGATGTCTTTCCGTTGGTCCCATCTCTGCCATTCCTCCAGCCTCTAGGCAAACCAATTCCGTCCAAAAGCTCCAGCTGGTCCCAAGCAAGCCGGGCCCGGCGTTGTTCTTGGTCTGCTTCGTAACGGGACTTTCGCCTCTTTCCCCGCAGTTGGTTACTCGAAATTGGACAAATGAGATGAAAGGTGGGAGGGCGGGTGCAACGTAGTGGAGGGGAACCAGGTCAGCGATGTGAACAATGGTTTGTCGGTCTTGTCCCGTTTCTGACAAGACGATGAGCGCGATGGTCGGGCAGGGGGTGTCAATGGTGTTCTTTTCGAAACGCATGCAGGCCGGCAAATGATTTGGAGCCATTGCCTATGGGTTCATGGCCCATGGGGGAAGAGGTTTCTGCCATTGCTGGATAGGCAATCCCTAGCCATTCGGCATGGCCCAGAAAGAGAAGACTCTCTTGACTCTTTGGACCACGTATCCGCAAGAGTCCAGACTCTTGATCGGAATGACTGGCAGATTAGTCTGTTGGTTCGTTCGTTCGTTCGGCCACTGCTTCTAGCGTTGGCGTTGGAATCTCGTCGCAATTGTCGCCTGTGGTTGGTCGGTCGCCCGCGGCGCCGAATGCCATTTGCCGCTGAATATGGCCCTTGAAGACAACGAACATGGACATGCCCTGGTGCCCTCGTTGGAATGGGGTCGCAAAGATCCCCCCGGCCCGGCGTCTTTGCCTTTTCCATGCTGAAAATGTGTCACCTGTTCGTGTGCGCAAAATAGCATCAGCAGCAACTAGCAGCAGAACCAGTAGCAAACGCCAAAGGAGAAAAAAGACCCAGCCAGCAAACCAGAGGCGCAGGCACCGCACGCGGGCGCGGAGGTGGCCGCTGCATCCTCCTCCCGTCCCAGCTCTAGCCCATGTAGGCAAGGCCACCAGCCCATCTACTTTTCTGCTCGACCAGTGACCTGCATGCCTGCCAAGGTGCTTGGTCTAGTTCGTAGAGAAACTCGACGACTCAAGGTAGCTTGCCGTCTTTGCTCGTAGTCGACCCCGCTTTCTGGGGCGAGCCTCGGGCCACCGGTGCTTCATAAAGAGATAAAAGCCCGGCATACGGCCGGACCCACCGATGCCTCCGTGGGAGCTCGCCGACGCAGACCGAAACTGCTGCTGTTGCAGTGCGACCTGGAATGACATCAGCCCCATCACGAGGTGATCCGGCCCCCGTCCTCCTCCACTTTTGCTCGCTGCTCACGGCCGACGTTGCTTGCCAATGTCGAACAATGACCGAAGTAACTCGGGGCATCCACCCCGAAACATTGCTTCCCCAAATTTCTCGCATGCTTACTCCCGAGTCCGTACGCATACCTATCAAGTTACCAACAACTTACCAAACGACCTAAATGGCTAGTATGCCAGTCAGCTGTCAAGGTAGTAGTCAGTCTACTATGGATACCCGTGTAGACCAACAAGTACCTACACGCCCATGGTATCTATACGTATAGCCTCGTTCGATACCGAAGCAGTGGTACGCAGACAGATAGACTGACAGACCGACCGGTTGCTTGCATCTCTCGTTCCGGCTTCTCGCGTGGAAGGATTCGCCGGCCTGTCAGATTCTTTAGACTGCTTCCAACGCAACCCCGTTCGATCCGTTCGCATTTCCCCAGTGGGGATTGGTCTTGGATCCGGGGACCCCCCCTTTGACAGTCCAGCGGTTTTTTTTTTTTCTCTTGACCCAAGCCCAGCTCCTTGGTGCTCATCTCGTGACATCTCCACACGATCTGGGGATGGGGTAAGAGAGATGCATGGAAATGAGGGGTAGCTCTCGAAGAAAGCTGTTTGTTCCCCATGGAGGGAGCTAACCCGACACGCCGCGTGCCCTTTTGCGTTGCGCTTCCGAGAACTGGAGCTGGCTGCTGGCTGCTGGCTGCTGAAGAGCTGAGAGTTTCCCACATGCGCGGCACCTACAAATATTTTTGTCAGCCCGTGAAACTTTAGGCTTTTGTCGTGTGTCTCTCTCACTCCCTTCTCCTCATCCCGTCCAGCAAGATACCCAAAATCGTCCGTCCCTTTCTCTTCTCTGCCGCTGCCGCGCCACGCCGTTGCCGTCTTTGAATGCTATCGTCTCTTCTCCCCAGTCGATTTAAACAAACTTCAGACAAAATGTCTCCCACTTCCGTAAACGGGGGTGCTGGCTCCAAGATCTCCTTTGTTGGTGCCATTGACCAGGGCACCACGAGCACCCGCTTCCTCATCTTCAACCCCCACGGTGAGGTCGTTGCTACTCACCAGCTCGAGTTCAAGCAGATCTACCCTAACCCAGGGTAAGTCGTTCTTCCTATGCGACCACCACCGGCGCATGAAAAGTATTGCGCAGAGTGAGAAATTAATCCCATTGCGACAGCTGGCACGAGCATGACCCCGAGGAGCTCGTTGCTTCCGTCGAGACGTGCATTGACGGCGCCGTCCAGGCGTTCGAGACTCAGGGCCACTCCCGCGAGCAGATCAAGGCTGTCGGCATCACCAACCAGAGAGAGACCACCGTCCTTTGGGATACGACCACCGGCAAGGCTCTGTACAATGCCATCGTCTGGACCGACACCCGCACCAAGGATCTCGTTCGCCGTCTGAAGCAGCGTCTCGGCGCAAGCGAGCTTACCCAGCGATGCGGTCTTCCCCTCTCCACATATCCCTCCGTCGGCAAGCTCCTTTGGCTTCTGGAGAACAGCCCTGAGGTCAAGGATGCTTACGAGCGTGGTGTTCTGGCCTTTGGTACCATTGACACCTGGTTGGTCTACAAGCTGAACGGCGGTACTGCCCGCGACGTTTACGTCTCGGATCCCTCCAACGCCTCCCGTACCATGTTCATGAACATTCACACTCTGAAATATGACGAGGACCTCATTGATTGGTTCAGAATCGACCCCAAGAAGGTCAAGCTGGCAAAGATTGTCCGTTCTTCCGACCCCGAGGCGTATGGTACGCTCCACAACACCGTTCTTAGCGGTACCAAGATCACCGGTTGCTTGGGTGATCAGTCCGCTGCTCTGGTCGGTCAGAAGGGCTTCACGGCTGGTCTCGCAAAGAACACATATGGCACGGGTTGCTTCTTGCTCTACAATATCGGGCCCAAGCCCGTCATCTCATCCCACGGTCTCTTGACCACTGTCGCTTTCGACTTCGGCCCTGGCAAGACCATGTACGCTCTCGAGGGTTCCATTGCTGTTGCTGGATCCAGTGTCAAGTTCCTGGTCGACAACTTTGGCTTCATGGAGTCTTCCTCCAAGCTCAGCGCACTCGCCGAGACGGTTGAGGACAACGGTGGTTGCACCTTCGTCACTGCCTTCAGTGGACTCTTTGCGCCTTACTGGATCGATGATGCCCGTGGTACCATCTTCGGTATCACCGCCTACACCCAGCGTGGCCACATCGCCCGCGCCACCCTTGAGGCCACCTGCTTCCAGACCAAAGCCATTTTGGACTCCATGGAGAAGGACAGCGGTGCAGCCCTGACTGAGCTCGCCGTTGACGGTGGCATGTGCAACTCCGATCTCGTCATGCAGGTAAGAATAGAACCCCCGGACCTTTTCCGAGCCTCGGGCGGAGAAATCAAGCTGACCCATGTACTCCGTAATAGACCCAGTCCGACATCATTGGCATCCCTGTCAACCGCCCAGGCATGCGCGAGACCACTGCCCTCGGCGCGGCCATCGCGGCAGGCTTCGCTGCAGGAGTCTGGAAGAGCTTTGACGAATTGAAGGACGTCAACCTTGAGGGCCGCACCATCTTCAAGCCCCAGATCTCCGAAGAAGATGCCTCTGAGCGCTTCGGCCGCTGGGAGAAGGCTGTCCAGATGAGCAAGGGCTGGTCGAGCTGAGCGGGTTTTGCTTGGGAGTTCTTCACGTGATAATGTCTTCTTTTTTTTTCGTTTCGATATACCACAGTCTGTTGTTTGGGAGGTCCATTCACAATGGGCGCACGCACATGCGATCCGGCGCCGTTTGGAGAGAAAAATCCAATCTGTATCATAGGTAGCACGGCATTATGACGCATTTTGCCTCTGTCGGAAACTCGATTTTGTGCGCCAGAAGCTGGTTCGTTTGCCCTGTTCACCGATGCAAGTCTTTGTAAGAGCGCCAAGTCGACGACTCCAGGGAAAGCCGCGGTTGCATTGCTGTCTCGACCCGTCCCCACGTGCGCATGTTCCTTGTAAAATCCGGATGATCGGAGTGTAAATCGTCGTCCATGACCCCGTTCAAACTGAGTCGTGAAGCAGGCAGGAGCGGAATGCAGTGACTTCATCGCGATCCTCAGCCTGCTGCGCGGCCTTGTTCCGGGGGGGTATTGGCAAAAAGGACCCTCCTCTTGTTATGGGCGTTGTTAGTTGTAGGCTTGTAGCCTACCTGTCAGCCACCCGGTGACTACTGCTTCTGGGGCCTGTGGAAGAAGACATCGTCGAAGCCACTGCCGTTTACCCCCACCTTTGACGGTTGCATCGCCCCATGGATGATCCTCGCGGTAGCAGGCTTGACAGGGGAACCATAAGGAGCGGGGGAGAGAGAGTTCGGAGTGGCCGGGGTGCGGCGCTGTTTGCCGTATGGAAGGGGGGTTTTCGGCAGCAAACTTGGAGAAGAAAATTGAGGGGAACTGTCTAACAGAGGCAGCGCGGTTCCTGCATGTCTTGCGGTAGTCTGTATTAGCACCGTTGTTCCGTCGTAGTGACCAGCGTGTCAGTGTCATGCCTGGTGGCTTCGGAGATGGCTCTGGTTATCGTAATCGCCCCCAAGGGTTCATCATTGGGCGCAACGATCTCCCCTCATCCGTTCCGTCCATCCCATGCCACGGGCGGATGCTGTGTGTAACGAGTTTCCGGGAAAACGAGCATGCCGGGCGCAAGTGGTTGGTTGGTTGGTGCGCATTGGCGGCACGGAGGAGTCTTCATTTCTGGTACTGTACACGGTTCCGTCGTCTTCCGCAGTCTTTGTATGTAATACGTACACTCTTTCTGTCACGGTATTAGTTGGCAGCGCAGACAGACAGGACGGTCAGACCGCGTAAAGTAAGGGACAGTGACAGATTTGCGCAAGAGATCCAACTCTTATTGTGGACGAGAGTGGGCCGACGACTGGATCTCTCTTTTTTTTCTGCCCTCCGTGCCAGCCATCTCTTCAAATGGCTTGTCGGGAGAGAACACCGAAGGACCCCGTCCCCCTCTCACACTTGGTCAGACTCAGACACTCGAGCGCTTGCTGACAAAGTCCCTCATCGCGGCCTTGGCTTCCCGAGTCTTTTCCACCTAGTCGACTAGTCAGTCCTTTTTGCCTCTCGCTGAAGACTCGGTGCTTGTCTTCCATCTCTCTCCACTTGTCCCTTCGACTTGCAGACTGCACTCTGCGGGTTCGAGCAAAACACAAACTGGGTGGACTGACTGACACTGCAGCGCCTGCAGAGCTGACACCAGCACTGTTCGGTACACACACAGACGGTACAGAGACTCTCTCCTGGATTCGGCTGCCCACGTTTCGCCCATCGACCCGGCCAACCAACGCGGACAAGGCCGGATATGCCCCATGCGCCCCAAGGTGCTGCGGTGCAATCCTTCACTCCCTCCAGCATCCCGGCCGGCTGAGGCAATTCGCTAGCCTGCCTTTTACTGCTTGCTGCACGCCCGCTCATGAGTGAAATGACCACTTCCTGACATCAAATTCGGCCAGGCTCCTCACGGCTCCATCCAAAAAGGGTCCTGATAAGAGCAACACCTTCGCAGCCCATCAAAGTAAAAACGGGAAATGTGGAGTTCCCACGACCATGGGACAGATATGCTAGACACGAATGCACGTCCGCAACAAATGGCCGAGGAGGAAGCGAACTCGGTGTTCAGCCACGACGAGGGCTCAAGTGGTGAAGACACGACAAACAATGGCTCGGCCGGTGCACCGAGGAAGCGTAAGAGGGAGAAGCACCAAAAGACATCGTATGTTGTGCGCTTCTGATTGTGTGGCCCCCCAAATGAGATGCATGGCCATCGACTGACGCGAATCCAGATGCGAACTATGCAAGGCGAGGAAGGTCAAGTGCGATCGTGCAGAGCCCGCATGTTCTTGGTGTGCCCGTCACAACCGAACATGCGTCTATCTAGAAAGGCAGAAGCCGGGTAGCCGTATCGGTTTCAGTCTCGAACTTGAAGCCAAGGTTAACAGGCTCGATGCTCTCTTGCAGGCTCTTGGTCGTCGTGTAGAAGATCACATCGCCCATGATCACGTCGCCACATCACAGGCTCATTCGCCATCCATCAGCAATCAGGCGCCATCACAAATCGAGGGATTCCGTCCTGATGGAAATGCGAATGGCGTCAGTCCGGCTCCGGGCCTTCCAAGAGGGCCACCAACCACGAATGGGAGAACACCAGCCTTCTCGAGCCCTTTCTGGCAGGGCGGTGACGCCCAAGAGACGTTACAGAATGGTGACCGGACTTCAGTTCAGGCTCTCTTGAACCTATCCGCAGGCGAGTCTTTCAGCCAAGCAGGCGCATCGCCGAGCGTCAACGGGCCTCGAAAAGATGCACACTCAGTCCCGACTGTCTCTGAGTTCCCGCCTCACGACATGCTGTACACGCTTGTCGACCTATACTTCAAACACTGCAACACGTGGTGTCCGATCTTGGACCGCAAAACGACCTTCGGTGCCTTTTTTGGTTCGACGTCCCTCAACGAAGCCGATCGTGTGTTGTTACATGCTATAGTAGCAACGACACTAAGGTTCATGAAAGACCCGCGGCTGTCGCCCGACATGCGGTCACACTACCATGCAGTGTCGAAACATAGGGTGCAGATATATGCGATGGAGAACGTGAGCATTGCCGCGTTGAGGGCTTTGGTGATACTCTGCCTGGACGAGTTGGGAACCTCAAATGGGCCGCGCGGTTGGAACATGCTCGCGTTGCTCTCGCAGAATGTGAGACAACTGGAACTCTGTGAAGAGAGCAGCGTATATCTCACGGCCGAGGCAGAGGAGACGCCGCACACGGGCTCGATCCGTCGGGTGGCGATGGGCCGACCAGAATCTTGGATTGAAGATGAGGGCCGTCGACGGCTTTGCTGGATGGTTTATCTCCTTGATCGATACGCGACGATAGCGACAACGACGTTCGACTTCATGCTCGACGACAAAAAGATGAAGCGCGGTTTGCCGTGTTCATACGACCTCTTTTCGAGAAACGTTCCCGTTGAGACGAAGTCATGGAGTCCGTCATCCGACCAAACCGGCAGCCCGACCATCAATAAACCCGAAAACCTCGGCAGTTTCTCGTACCACTGCGAGATCCTGCGTATACTGAGCAAGGTCCACGACTTTCTCAAAACACCCATCGACGTAACATCGTCGTCGGAAATGGCGGTTTGGCGGAACACATATAGATCGCTGGACGGTGCGCTCGACAGCTGGTTGCAGAGCTTGCCCAGCGAGTACAGCAGAATTTCGGCTCTGTGCCACTCAGATCCCGCGAGCCGCGTCGCCAACTGGTTCATGCTGCATAGCGCATATGTCACGTCTGTGGTGCGTCTTCATTCCTCGGCTGCGTACCCCACTGTGAGATCTCACATCTTCGTCCCATCGCACTATGCCATGCAGAGGTGCTTGTCTGCCGTGCAAAGTCTCGGCGATATTGCGCAGGACGTCTTTGAGGCCAACGGCCTGGATCTCTTGGGGCCGCCATTCGCCTTTTCGTTATGGGTAGCCGCTAGGTTGCTGCTTATCCACGCTGCGACTGTTGGGTGTCCCGTTGATCCCAAGATTGACTTTTTCATCGAAACGCTTCGCCATGTTGGACAGTACTGGGAGGTCGCAAACAATTACGCCAAAATTCTTGCTCGGGTGGTACAGCGAGGGCGACAGGGCGACATGAGCTTTACCGCGATGAGGAAGTGAGTAATCCCATATGATGTCTTACCGCCCCCGGACCGTACTAACAGCAATGCCTCAGGAGTGCCCACGATCTGGTAACCTTGACATCCTCCACACGACGCTCTGGCATGGAGCCGACATCGACTCAAGTGACTTCGTTGAGCGAACTTGACAACATTGACGTTTTCGACTTTTTCAATTATCCCAAGATGTCTGAGCCGAGCTCACGGGCGACCAATGGTCAGACGAATTTACTACAGCCACAAGTGATGAGCGGGTTAGGCGGCGATTCCATGAGGACGACCGGGGTACCAGATCCAGAGTCGGATTGGCTGGGCTTCAGCACTCCCTTTAACTGAGGCTGGGGCTGAGGTCGACGCTGCGGGTTGCTTTTCCCTGTTTTATTCCCTTGACATATCGAAATATTGTTTCCACTTTTAGACAGCAAATATCATGGAAGCTGGGCCGGCGCTGGAGGCTTTGAGGAACCTGGTTGAGGCGTTCGTGGGGCGTTGTAGTACTTCTTCATTGATGGATCTCGTGTGGCTTCGCGATACAGCCGCAAGGAAAGCTGGCAGATCGACCCAATTGAAACTGCTGATCCCCGCACAAGCTGAGGAGCTTCGATCCACTGTGACTGGCTGAGCCACAGACAGCGTCCGTGTGTGCCATGACGTTCGTTGAAACGCTGTTCCTGGTTCTCCCCCATCCTCTTCAATCTCGATTCTTCTTCCGACTTTGGCAAGCGTATCAATTGTGAAAACGAGTAAACCAATCTCTTCGGACATTTCGAGCAAATTTGAATCAATCATGGCGCCGAACCAAGGCCTTGTGCATCCGACTGAGTACGACATCAAGGACAGCAATGTCGAGCTCATTGGCACGGACATTGACCACCAAGTGAAGTACAACTCTGCTGCTACCGAGCCAGCTTGGAATGAAGGCGAAGTTGGCCAAGCCGCTGGGCTTCATGTCTGGCGAATTGAGGAGTTCGAGGTCAAGCCATGGCCTAAGGAGAAGTATGGTCAGTTTATGGATGGCGACAGCTACATCGTCCTCAACTCGTACAAGGTTGGGAGCAAAGATGACGCCGAGAAGCTTGGGCATGACATCTTCTTCTGGCTCGGTGCCCACACATCGCAGGACGAGGCCGGTACCGCTGCGTATAAGACGGTCGAGCTCGATGAGTTTCTGCACGGGGCCGCGACGCAGCATCGTGAGCTACAGTCGGCGCCGTCTGATGAGTTCCTAGAGCTCTTCCCTCGCATCCAAATTCGCTCTGGAGGGGTAAGATCTGGCTTCCGTCATGTCGAAGACGAGGAGCCCAAGGAGGAGATTCTCACTCTGTTGCGCATCTTCAAGAACCCGTCAGTCGGTGCCAACGGCGTTGTTGTACACGAAGTCGAGCCAACGTGGAAAAGCTTGGATGAGGACGACGTGTTCGTGCTCGACACAGGCGACAAGATTTGGCAGTGGCAGGGCAAGAGCTGCAGCCCGATGGAGAAGGCCAAGGCTGCTCAGGTTGTCAACGACATGACACTGGCAAAGCACATCGACGTCGAGGTTCTGGCCCAAGAAGAATCGAGATCTCGCGTTATCGTCACCCTTCTCGGAGGCGACGATGATACGCCTCAGTCTGGCCTCCACTGTCCCAGACCAGTTCGATCAGCATCCAAGGCACACGCCGGCGAGCGACCTCAGAAGCTTTTTCGCCTCAGCGATGCTTCCGGGGAGCTCAGATTCAACCTCGTCAAGGATGGCAGCAAGGCTGCTCTCTCGGACTTTGAAGAGCAAGACGTGTTCCTCTTGGATGACGCGGGCCGAGCCGTTTGGGTGTGGGAAGGACAGGGTGCAAGCCGGGGAGAGAAGGCCAACTGGCTCAGAGTTGCCCAGGCGTATGTTCGCCAATTGCAGGGGGGCTCTGAGGCCGATGAGGCTCATCTCACACCTGTCGCCAAGGTGACTCAGGGCAACGAGAGCAGGGCGTTCTTGAAGGCCGTGGCAGTTTGATGGGTACTGCATCGCATGAATACGAAAAGGAAGGGCTCGTGGGTCTCTGGCTAGCCGCTAGGTTCAGGATGTAGATGATCTCGAATAAGGGTCTTCCGTTGATCGTGTACTGTCCAGCCAATTGAAGTGGCCATTACCTCGGGTATACTCTGGTGATTCTTCTGCGAACATGTGATGTTGATGCTGGAACGAACAAGACCAATTGTCTACAAGAGATGGGCAATGACAATTGATGCAATGTGCAGTTTGAACAGAGGTGTCGTCAACGGAGATGGGATTGGAGGGGCAGCGGAGGACGGAGCTTGTGATCCGGGAAAGGCCAGGCAAGGCAGGAAGTCACGCGTCGTCGTGCCTGCTTCCAAGCCTGACATGTGCCTGCCTCGTTCCTGCCAGATAGAGGGCGATCGGCCATCGTCAGCAGGAACACCACAAACAGCAAGCGCTAACGCAGCTCCAGGCAGGAACAAGATGGAAAATGCATTTTTTTCCAGCTTCCATGGCACCGACACCTCCAGGCACTCTCCTTCCCCCCGTTTAATGCCGGCAGAGCCTGCTCTTTCCCATGCACTTGGAGCGGCAGTCGTCTTTCCTTGGCAGGGGATCCTGAGATGAGCTGCGATCCAGTGCTACTTGGATGGGCCTGATGATGGTTTTTGTCGTCCATGCCAGTAAGCTAGCGATTATGAGTACTAGCAGGCTAACATCGGTAGAAAGACGCCACGAGTACTTTGATATGGAACACGTAGACGGCTGACGGGGATAGTCACATGCGGTAGCTGTAGCAGAATTGGAAGAATAAACGAATACTCAATTACAGAAGCAGACCAAAGTCGTCCGACTATGGAATCTATGGTATCTTTCCCTTCCCATGAACGCCTCTCGACTATTATCCGCCCGCGATTAGTTCTCCGTCATTTCGGCGTCTTTTCTGTAGCCACGGGCGGTCAACGCCAACGCGACGAAGAATGGACTCTGACCCTGCCGTACCACATCCACCCTCTGCCAGTCACACACGTTTTCCGTTCCGCCTTGCGTTTCCCATATGCCCGACGAGGTCAATCGTCTTACTTTCCGCCGTACTGGCTCATAATTCTTGCGATATTCTCCGCGGCTCTAGCCTGATGGCGCGCCTCACTGGCCGCAACGTCCTCGCTTCGGAATGCGGCGCCATACGCGGTAGGTTCGTCGGACGCTGGTTGGTTCTGGTACATCGAAGTTCGTCGTTGGGCGAGCTCTTTCTTAGATTCCTTTGACGAGTGCTTGTGTGATCCCTTCGAGGAGGAATGGCTAGAACCCGTTGGATTAGTACATCAGCCTGACGCGCATCTTCTCCCATCACACCCATCGCCCGGGGCCGGATCATGTACCCGCTGTAAGCTGACTGTCCAGAATGCGCCATGTTTGCCTGTGGGAAGGATGGGCAGTGTGCGCAAAGTTGTGGGCGTAAATCGTGAATGACTGATCTTCAAAGAATCAGGTAGCTAGCTGTTCGTGAGGTTCCGAATCTGACCGTTGGTGTGTGAAGTGTGCAGGTTCCTCAGGATCCAACTTGGCAGGTTTAAATACGGCCAGCGTGCAGAGCGCGCGAACCATTGCTTTCCAAATTCGAGGTTTGAAGGAGACATAATACACTTCCGACCCTTGCATGGCTGAGCTTGGCCTAGGGGAACAGCGAGTGTCTTTGCAATGTGTTGCGTCAGGTGGAATGCGGCCGTTCAACGAACAGAAGGCTCAAACGGCTACCCGACACCAAAGTCGATGGAGTCGGCTCAATTACAATGCCGCAGTATGGGCAGTAACGTTGAGGGACGGCGTGCCATTCGAATCGAGGGAGCAGGTCTCCGGCAGGGGGGCGAGGTTGCCGAAGGATTCAATCCTGTGGTCCAATCGTTGTCTTGTTCCTGTTAGTCCTTTTCAGCCTGGTAAGGCGTCCCAGTCTGTTCCGCCCCCACCCCAAGCACACAATGGGCCCCACAGGTTGAATGTTCTCAAGCAGTGTGCCGGTGTTCCTGAAAAGACAGTGAAGTCGGAATTGAGTCGTTGTGGTTCCGATGAGTTGCAGCTCATACATCGTGCTGTCTGTGAAGTAAGTAGATAGCAGTGGTTTTGATAGCATCCTCAACCTCAAGCACGGATGCTCAAGCCCTCTGGTGCGATGAGCGTGAGCACTGAATGCTTTCCAAGAGGTTTGGTAATGTCAGGTAACTGACATGAGGTGTATCTTTCGCTTGAAAGAACCATCAACATTGGTCGCCCAAGCCGCGTGTACACCTTTGAAGATCTTTCGCATTGTAAGTTGTCTGCAACGAAGCTGGAGCATTGCCAAGGCCGGTCCAGACCAAGTTGATCGTAACTTGCAATGACGAAATCCGTTCGTCCGGCTAAATCAGCCAGATAGGAGACTGATGCGCAAAACGAAAGGCCATCGAGTGTGCTGGACTTGACTTCAAGCTCTTCGATCTCTCAGGCGTCCCACTGGACGACCGAAAGTCCCGTGCATGAGCCTGTAAGTCGCAGGTATGCGGGATGAAAGATGCTTCCTATTCGAGATTAATCACTGATTACGGTTATTGGCTGTGATGTGAACGAAGACCTGCCAACTTTGGCGAGAGGGCGTTGGGACTGTGTGACTTGAGAGGGATTGGGAGGGGAGGCTCCTGAGGTGAGCTCATGCAGATGGAAGTGGAAAAAGCTCCACGGGCAGTGCAGATTGGATGGAAGCGCTATCCAATGCGATGAGCCGACTCTCGATGATGTGGCGCATAAATCTGCCTTGCCGAGAGTGAATGAGATCCAATCGTCGATGATGTGGTGATGAGAAAGATGTGTTGAGAAAAGGGGGGCGCTTCCAGGTTCCAGATGATGCAACGTGACGCAGGCAAGAGGCCTCCGCGCGGGGCTTGCAGCTGGTCGCCAGCCGCCTCGTTTGCTGCCTCACGGTGCCTTGTTCAAGGCATCCATAGTTCGCAATCTGAGAAAGGCGTCCGAATTGCCTCGTTCGAAGAAAGTCGTCCGCCGATGGGTCGCCCAAAACATTGGTCGCCTCGCGATTTCGGTGGCTGCCTGGCCATGTGTTGCCGGATGCTCTCAGGTGGTCTTGCTGAACCGGAAATATCGAGCTTGACGAAGCGAGAAGATTGTGGTGAAAGTCGTAAAACTGTTCGAAGACCAGTTTGACCAGAATCGGCAGGAAATCTGTTTGTAGGTCTTGTCCAAAGTATGGCGTTCGGTAGAATATGGTCGATATGGCGAATTGGAATTGGGGGCCGAAAGAGTTCATTCGGAGCGCAAATCGAGAGGGAGGGGGACGGGAATGGGCAGACGTATATGTAGGGCTGACCCAAAAGCATGGAGTGATGCCAAAGACGAGAGAATCCAGGTTGCCGGGAAAGAAGTCCTAGAGCAAGATTCCGTAGACGTGGGATGGGATTCTCGAGGACTTAAATGAAGATGGCATCAGGACTTTACGTCTCATCAGCGCGAGAGTTCACATCCGGTTGGCTACGGCGGCGCGCAGGTATCCCTGGTGTGATGTGCTCCGCCACAACGGCCATTTCTATTGGCTCAAGTACGGGAATGCTCCAGGCAGCAGGGCTTTCCCTTTCAAAACCGTCCAATGAAGGCACGAAGCGTCCCCTCAGCCCTATACACTTGTCGCACACCAACCAATCAGTCAGCGAGTGATACCCTGGCCCGCGAGCACTGAGGTTTGAGCACCTCTCTCTCCCGTTACCTCTGCAACTCTACATGACAATGTGGCTGGCTGCATTTACCCCATTGATTGCACCTGGTAAATTCGCTGGCACGGTATAGCTTGATATAAGGCAAGGCAAGGTAAGTCGAAGCAAGGTACCTTGGAAAGTACGACCGAGCAGCAGTCCGGCTCCCCGATAACCATGCCGAGATCTTTGGGGGCCACGCTTTGCCTGAAAGGGCATGGATAAACAGGTACTCGAAGGGAAGATATACATCTGACTGTCATGAGCGGGGTGTTTATGAGATTATAGAAGATCGAAAAAACAAGCCATTGTCTTCTTTGGTCGAGTAAGGTCTTGAAAGTGTCATGTTGATCAAAGTGCTTGTAGAAGCCCGGTGGTGGCCGACGCCCCATAATAATATCGGCCCCACTCAAGTGCCGAAAGTGGATTGCCCGCGCCGGCCTCGCGAACTGCAGTAAGACGGTAGGCACCTGACTGTGTTCTTCAGGTCCGGTTGCCCCCAAGCTTACATAAGATCAGACACTGAAGGCACCTGAGGTGCCTTATGCTAAGGTTCCCAAGGGATTCTAGGCACAACAATCAAGAGCAACCTAAGCCTGCAGTGTTCCCTCCTGAAGCTTTCCCCTTGATACGCGTGTGTCCTTGGGTTCACCCTTCTAAGCGTCTCGAGCTCTACATCTGACATCACCTTTCAGGGAAAACACATGGGCGCTTAGGCATTTATTCTTTTATCAGCGCGTAAGGTAGCTGGAGTAGACAATCTTAACGTGAATCTATCCGCCTTTTCAAACTAGCAAGTTACAGCATAGCCAAACAAACGTAAGGCGATGAGAATGCAGAAGTCAAAGTTAGAGCTCCCGGTGTTGGGGAGTCGCTACTCATCTACCAACCACTCATCTTGTGGTGGTCTAAACCTGTAGTCTAGCACCTAAAGCTACTGTCCGTCCCCTACACCTTTTTCACGCCCTGATGAACGCCTTGTTTACATATGCCCCAATATACGACTGATCGGAATGCGACGCGACGCTGAACCTTCGATCTCCTTCACATCTGGACCAATGATGCTATGTACTGCAATTATTCCCCATACAGATACCGGTAGCCGACCTCAGGATACCAGTATCGCGAGCTTTTCGTCCCGTCTCTGGAAACAATGAAACCACAGCGTCTGTTAGGAAGAGCTGCCATCAAATCGACCAGTAAACTTGGCCAAATCCACAGCAATCCTGCCCCTATGTTGCGCGGCGGTGGCGCTCATATCGGTGTTCTGGTATGCGACGCGATAGATGTTGCTATCTTCAGAAGGCGTCTGATTCTGATACGCATTCAGCTGTTGGCTAGGGAGGCTTCTCTGCGACGCTGCTGTTGAATGCGTGTGTGCCGATTTGCGCTCGGAACCGCTGCAGTGAGCCGATCAGTAAAACGTATGTTTAGATATCACAAGCGATGCAAAAAGCTTAAAACACGACAAGCATGAGAATTGACAGCTTTACCTGTGGCAGACTGATTTCCCGGCGTTCGAATCCATCTTGATCGCAAGCTGATACTCGCTTTATGGCAGTTGCCATATTGGTAAATTATGTCTGCTAGAAGCTGACTGAGTCGCTGAACACCGAGAGCGTAGTCCTTGCTTCGCAAACATTGAAAGAAGAGCTTTCTTTGGCCACCAAAAGTTTCCCTCATTAAATACTAATTTGAATCTCCGAACAACGACGAATGGGAAACTATCGGTCAGGAAACGCAGTGGTCCTGGTCACATCCCGATTCCCGTCTCGTTAAGACGACCAAATGCTGCGCGGGCTCCAGACGAAAGCCAGATGAATCGACAACCCCTCAAAAAGGTGCAATCCCTCATGCGTTCCAGACTACATTTGCGGGGCAGATGCCTTCGAACTCGGGCGTAGCGGGGTTCGGCCGCCTAAGGGGACTAGTCGAGTGGTTGTGTCTAATCATGAGCCGGAGTCGTTTCGCAACGGTGGATGATGAACGCGTCCCAGCTCCACGCCCCGTCCGGGGAACACCATGCATGCGTGCATGGTAATGATGGTCACTAGCGTGGTGTGTAAAGTGAGAGCTCAAAACATAATCGACCTGATGAAGCCTAGGGCTAGCTTCAGAGCGTAGCCTGCTCGGTGCTGTGATATCAACTATTAGCCCATAGTACAAACATCCAGCCTTGAGCGCGGGAATATCTGAAGAATCGAAGATGATTTAGTTGAGGTTATTCTGCACCATGAGTTGCCACCGGGGTTATTTTTTGATGTTGGAAGCTGAGTGGTATGTAAGGTAGCCGGCAGCCATCTAGGAGCACCGAAGGGCAGCGCTGAAGGATAGCCTGCCTGCCAGTGTTCCAGTTCTTGAAGATGGATACCCTAGGCAGGCATTCGTACAAAAAGAAAGGTCACAGTCCAAGCTATGTCCTGGTCAGTGGACATCGTTTGGACAGACATAGCATATCTTGACGGCGCGTGGAGGAGCGGTCATACAGCCCGGAGCCGAGACAACATGGAGGGTTGACTTCAACCACGCCCCCACCATCCAGAAGGAAAGCGATAAACCTCCTTCCGGTTCAGTCAATTTCCTTCTAGCGGACTGGAAGAGAAGTGGCCTCAGTGATGCGGCAGGCTGGGGCAGCATGTTGTTGCGGCAGCGCAGCTGGCTATGAACGAGCAAATCCGCCGCCTCCGATCAACTTTGATCGGGCAGCAAGGAGAAACAAAAGAAGAGACTGCAATGAAAGGGTGGGTAGGGCGTGGTCTCAAGCCCCTCGACTGTGGCCCTTGGCAGTGAGGTCTTGCGTTGTCATATCTGCGAGTTGCTTCATGCCGTTGGCATTCCGGATAGCGCCCGCAACCAGACGCATCCGATGGCCTACGTGGCCCAATTATGCCTTGCTCCAACGCCGGTGGAGATGATAGATGCTTCGGCTCGATGCAGAGTGCTGCTCGTTTCATCACATCCCCTCACTTTCTTGCTTCGCTCTCCTATTCAGGGCCCGTATCGTGATGCCTTGTGATGTTGTTCGCTTAGGCACCAGTGATCCGATAGAGCCTGACAGAGTGTTTCGGTTGCCTTGATGGTTTGCTCAGGGCCGCAAAATATCAGCTACGGTCAGGTGAATTCAACCGACCTTCGTCTGGGTTTGTGTCGTCCTCGGAAGTGTTGTCCTCGTTCGTTTGTGGTCGACCTTACTCAGCCGATTGACTAAGCTCGCTTGTGTAACCTGCTCCCAAGGGGTTCTGACTTTGTCTTCTCCGAACACATGCTCGGAGGCCTGGTGATTGTGCCTCGTTCTTAGATGGCAGTTCGTTCAACGAATCGACGAAGGAAGGATGCTGCGGATGGAGGATGGGGCCAAGTATGGTTTAGTGTAAAAGCAAATGTGAAATGAGGGACTACAAGAAGCTGGGGGTTCTCTTGATAAATATCCGTTCGACGGTGGCTTTGAACTGGGCATTGCGCCTTTTTACACCAAGGGATCTTGCTCCCATTAAGTATGCGAAGAAGCCATCGTCGGATGTGGGGTATGTTGTGCCTTTCTGTGTACGGAGTAACTTGCATGTAATTTCCTGACTTTGGCATGTTTCAGTGACAGTATCCGTACGACTCGAGGCACAGTAGGAAGCCCCGAATGCTATGTCCAATTGGGTCCAGCCACGATCTCGGTATCGATCAGACTGGCAACGCAAAAGATAACACAGTTTGTGCACTGTTTCTTTCCCAATCCATCCTTCGACATGATTCTCCTGCCGAGACAGAAGGACTATCCTCGTCCAATGAAATCCAAGATACGACATATATCGGAAGCGCCATGGAATCACACATAGACATGTTGATGCAGCGTGGCCTTTTGGTCGAAAAGAGTTGCATGCAAGGCGTCAGATTAGTCGCGCAGTTGAATCCATCTTTTTCCCGTCTAAGGATCTAAATATGTATGTACATCTCAAAACGGAACCATCACAGCTATGACACAATCCACGATGTACTTATTTTGCTATTGGCGCGTGCTCCTGCTCCCTCACCTGGGGATCCAACAGGCAGGCGAGGCAACTGAATTGGTTTCTAAGTTCACAGGTCACCTCGACTGCGAGATTATCCAGGCCTCATGATACGCGAACGCACTAACGTCAGCACCCTAAGTCGCATGTCGATGACATGAAGGACCAAGCCAGTCAGCAGCTGGGCAGACTCAGCGACTTCCGAACGAAGGCAGTGTTGCTGCCGGTACCACAGGATTCGACGAGATTGGGAGATAAACGTCCTTGAAAGAGAGGAGGGTGATCCTTTCATCGGACATTATCATGGAGTCAAAGGTCATCAGAAACATTTGATTTAGTGCCTTATGCCACCTTCACTCAAGACGATCTTGAGAGCCGTGATACATCCCATTCTAAGTCCAAGTGATGCCTTGCAACTCACACATCCAATCCGAATGCCCAGGCTCATACACATCAGTAGGCCCATATTCACCCCCTTCGGCCGCGTCCATGTTGCAAACATTGACGTTAAAGTTACACAACTGCACCGGTTCCAATCCCACACCCTTCTCCGACACAGTCTCCCAAGGGTTCGTAAGCTGCTCATAATCATGCTTATCAAAGCAGTCCGCAGGCCCCTTCAAGATCTCCTCCTTGGTAAGCCCATACGTCTGGATGAGCTTCTCTGCTAGCCGGTGTTCGGGCACATCATCATCGCTATCGCGCCTCTGGAATCGCCACTCAGTCCACTTGCTATTCGCCTCCTGCCTGCATAGGATAGCGGCAGACGAGTCATCGCACGCTGTCTTGTTGAAAGTGCGGATAATGTACACGTTCTGCGCCTGCATCAGCAGCGCCATGGCGTTCACGCTGACAGTCTTGTACATCCACGTGTCGAAATCATCCTGCGTGATGTTCGTCTGGCGGGAGAGGAAGCCGCCGCCGCTCAAGACCTTGTTGATACCCCACGTCGGATCGTCAATGGGCGCGTCAATGACCTTTTTCGCGTACGTTCCGATCGCCTGCTTGTACTCGTCGACTTTGCCGCCCATCTGGCTCGACAGGTCACTCCATCGCAGAAACTGGCCGCCTGCGCTGGGCGCGAGCATCATGCCGCCCGCAATGATGTTGCCTCCCTGGACTGTGCTAGCGATGCTGCCCGCGGTGGCGCCGAGGGCTGCTGTGGTTGGGAAAGCGTTGAGGATTCCGTTGACCCATGCCAGGAACTGCTTCATGGGAGTTACGTTGTCCTTCTTTGCCGGCCATAGGTCGTTGACTACCTTTGCGAGCTTCAGGCTTAGGATGGTGGCGGCGTAGGTTACGGCGAGGTTGAGGTTGTTGACGTAGTTATTCCAGCCTTGGATACCCATCAAGGCGTACCTTGCGTAACTCGTTAGTACAGAGAAGAGTGATGGGATAGAAGCAGAACACATGGCTTACCACCCAGGTAAAGTGACCGGTGTACACGGTTGACCGGCATTGCACCACAGGTTGACCCCGCAAAAGAAGTTGGGGGCACCTAAGTATGCTCCTAGAGCTTGCACATTATCGGAAGAGTACTCCGTATAATGTTTCGCGGCGTTAGCGAGGAAGTTGTCCACGCCCTCTTTCTTCCATGTATCGCTCGAGAGTTGGCTAGGCACGCAGTTTGCACGCGGGCTCACGACTGAGAGCAAGTCGGAGCCAGGACTAGACGGCGCCGCGTCCACATAGACACTCAAATACCCAGCGCATAACGCCAGTAAAGATCGGACGTGCATGAGAGGCTACTATATCTCGAGAATGAACTGCCAGCAGTTACTCTTGGTAAGACTGAGACAAAGGCTAGGGGTGCCTGGAGGTCGGCGCAGAGCAGCTGGTCAATATACACTGAAAGACAAGAAATATGATGATGGGCAGTGAGGATCATCGAGGCGAGTTCCCGGTGTTCAAGTGAGACATATAAGCATCTTGAAGTCGAAACAGTCAGTCTCAATGTTTGCCAAGCAAGCTGTTTCCTGGACCGTGCTGTCTGTCGTCAAAATTGGCAAGCATCATTGCGTGATAAGGTGCAATCGAGCAAGGACCTCCTTCATCTAATTAGACTTTGTTACGATACCATTGATGATGATTGACTTCAACACGAATCGGATATCAGGTCAAAAACTGGTAAGATAAAGACACTTTTGCGTGGTTAATGAGAGTCGGTCAATGTTGTGATAGATAAAGTTCCCACTAAGCTTGGATCACTATGGGTCAGGCTCGGCGTTGCCGCTTGGTTCATGTTTCCCCATTCGAGGATCTTCTGGGCAGTATTAGTGTAGATCCCTCTTTCAAGGTTTGCAGGAAGTCTTCCAGGAATAATATAAAGAAATTGATAGGACTGTAAGCAACTCATTCAACCACTTGGCTCCGCTATGGCGATAGCCACTGAGTACACAATTGGCTCTTTGGTATAGTCGAGCATCTAGTCGTTCTATTACTCGCAGATACCTATATCTCTAAGCGACTGAGATGTGATTATAGAATCAAGACATTATATTTCAACTCGATAACGTTGCCATTTTCTAGA